TAGTGGAAGTAACACTCAGCCCCACATCCTGCCGTTTCTGTCTATTTCTTTTTAAATTTTGCTCTTCTTACCAGTATGAAACCACACAGATAGAAAGAGAGAGAGACGTAAATTGATGAATAAAATAAATCCAACATCAGTTTTTTGTCATTTGTCAGTTTAATTGGAAAAACCCCACAATGTTTAGAAAGGACTCTATATTCGTATTGACTTTTTATATTGAGAATACAGGATGGAGATTCAATTTTACCTTCTTTAACACTTTAAGCCGCTACATTTTCTTTCTTTACCTGCAAAACATTGAGTTTGGTCTCATTTTTGTTTAATTTTTCTGGGTTTTCAGGTAAGTTTCAGCCTTTCTACTAGGACAAAAACCCGATCAGGCCTCAAATGGCGCCCCCTCCTGGTCGGGGAACTGGGGTGCGCAGCCTCTCTTCAGCTTCTTTCCCTCCGGCGTGCCCCGGAAAAACTCCAGGTAGGACGAGAACACGTACTTGTTCATGACTTTGATGCGGCCGAACACGTCCAGCTCGGACAAGTTTACTTTAGACTTTTTTGGAAGATGAATAGTTACTGTTTTTATATTGAGATGAACAGAACGTTTAGTGGAAGTAACACTTAGCCCCACATCAGGCCGTTTCTGTCTATTTGTATTTTACTTTCCCCGTTCTTACTAGTATGAAACCACAGAGAGAGAGAGTAAATTGATGAATAAAATAAATCCAACATCAGTTTTTTGTACCATCCTTTGTCAGTTTATTTGGAAAAAAACCCACATTGTTTAGAAAGGACTGTATATTCGTATTTACTTTTTATATTGAGAATACATAATGGAGATTACATTTTTCCTTCTTTAACACTTTAAGCTGCTACGTTTTCTTTCTTTACATTCTTTACATTTACATTGAGTTTGGTCTAATTTTTCTGGGTGTTCAGATAAGTTTCAGTCTTTCTACTATGGACATGAATAGTTACTATTGTTATATTGAGATGAACAGAACGTTCATGAATGAATAAAATAAATCCAACATAAGTTTTTTGTTTCATCATTTGTCAGTTTAATCGGAAAACCCCACAATGTTTAGAAAGGACTGTATATTCGTCTTTACTTTTTATGTCGAGAATACATAATGGAGATGAAACTTTTCCTTCTTTAACACTTTAAGCCGCTACGTTTTCTTTCTTTACCTGCAAAACATTTGATTTTTGTTTAAGTTTTCTGGGTTTTCAGGTAAGTTTCACCATTTCTACTAGGACAAAAACCCGATCAGGCCTCAAAGGGCGCCCCCTCCTGGTCGGGGAACTGGGGGGCGCAGCCTCTCTTCAGCTTCCTCCCCTCCGGCGTGCCCCGGAAAAACTCCAGGTAGGACGAGAACACGTACTTGTTCATGACTTTGATGCGGCCGAACACGTCCAGCTCGGTGTGCTGGAGAAGTTTACTTTAGACTTTTATCGAATATGAATAGTTACTGTTGTTATATTGAGATGAACAGAACGTTTAAAGGAAGTAACACTTAGCCCCACATCCGGCCGTTTCTGTCTATTTATGTTTTACTTTTGCTTTTCTTACCAGTATGAAACCACAGAGAGAGAGACAGTAAATTGATTGAAAGTAAATTGATGAATAAAATAAATCCAACATGAGTTTTTTGTTTCATCATTTGTCAGTTTAATTGGAAAAACCCCACATTGTTTAGAAAGGACTGCAGGAAAATGTGTATTCGTATTGACTTTTTATTTTGAGAATACATGACGGGGATTTAACTTTTCCTTCTTTAACACATTAAGCCGCTGCCTTCTCTTTTTTTACTTGCAAAAACTTGAGTTTGGCTTAATTTTTCTGGGTGTTCAGATGAGTTTCAGCCTTATTATCATTATCATCATTATTATTATAATTTTTTTTCTACTATCCTACACATGTAGGATTATGAAGCACAGACGGAAATCGACAGATTAAACTTTTCCTTTTTTAACACTTTAAGCCGCTACGTTTTCTTTCTTTACCTGCAAAACATTGAATTTTGTTACATTTTGGGGGGTTTTCAGGTGAGTTTCAGCCTTTCTACTAGGACAGAAACCCGATCAGGCCTCAAATGGCGCCCCCTCCTGGTCGGGGAACTGGGGGGCGCAGCCTCTCTTCAGCTTCTTTCCCTCCGGCGTGCCCCGGAAAAACTCCAGGTAGGACGAGAACACGTACTTGTTCATGACTTTGATGCGGCCAAACACGTCCAGCTCGGTGTGCTGGAGAAGTTTACTTTAGACTTTTTTGGAAGATGAATAGTTACTGTTGTTATGTTGAGATAAACAGAACGTTTAGTGGAAGTAACACTCAGCCCCACATCCTGCCGTTTCTGTCTATTTATATCTTATTTTCCCTGTTCTTACCAGTATGAAACCACACAGAGACAGAGAGAGAGAAGTAAATTGATGAATAAAACAAATCCAACATCAGTTTTGTTTCATCATTTGTCAGTTTAATTGGGAAAAAAACACAATGTTTAGACAAGACTGTATATTCGTATTTACTTTTTATGTTGAGAATACATGATGGAGATTTAACTTTTCCTTCTTTCACACTTTAAGCTGCTACGTTTTCTTTCTTTACCTGCAAAACATTGAGTTTGGTTTCATTTTTGTTGAATTTTTTGGGGTTTTCAGGTAAGTTTCAGCCTTTCTACTCGGACAGAAACAAGTCAGGGGTCAGAGGGCGCCCCCTCCTGGTCGGGGAACTGGGGGGCGCAGCCTCTCTTCAGCTTCCTCCCCTCCGGCGTGCCCCGGAAAAACTCCAGGTAGGACGAGAACACGTACTTGTTCATGACTTTGATGCGGCCGAACACGTCCAGCTCGGTGTGCTGGGCGTGGCCCTCGGCGTCCATGGCCGCCCGGGCCTGGACGTACAGGGCGTTCTCCTTCTGCAGGAGCTTTTCCAGCCATCTTCTCCGGCCTGGCTCCGCCCCCTCGTAATCCTCCAGCGTGCAGCCGTAGAAGCCCCGCCCCCCGGGCGCCGTTGGGAGTGGGGGGGGCGGGTCACTTCCAGTCTCCATGGGGTGGTTTTCCCCCACGAAGGCGGTGCATAACGGGCCCTCGGCGCCCCGCAAACGGCCGACTTCGCACCCGATCACGCTCATGAGGAAGAGGGAAAACACGCGGAAGTTTCGCGCGGAGGCCGACAAAACGGCGGCCAGGAAGTAGCGCCCCCAGCGCTCGCAGTTCCAGCTGCACTGCTGGAGCTGGAAGGTCTGCCGGCAGAAGTCCGGGAACCCGGAGGCCTTCAGGCCGCCGCGCAGCTCCAGGAGGGAGGAATCCGCCCGCTGGGCGCCGAACGCACGCCGGAAGGCCTCCGCCTCCGCCAAGCTGCCGTTCAGCATGAACCTGGTCGGAAAGGGATATAATCACTCAGTTTAGCATCGGACGTTATGCTAGAAAAAGCTGTGAGAATGCCACATGATGAATGGAAGAAGCAGAAGAGTTAAGGGAAAAAGGCTGAACGGAGGAATCATTTGAAAAGCTTGAAATCACCAGGTTAGCATCGTATCATCACTCAGTTTAGCACCAGTTTTGCTAGAAAAAGCTGTGAGAAAAAGCCACAAGATGAATGGAGGAAGCAGAAGAGTTAAGGGAAAAAGGCTGAACGGAGGAATCATTTGAAAAGCTTGAAATCACCAGGTTAGCATCGTATCATCACTCAGTTTAGCATCGGCCCGTGACCCAATCAGGGAATAAGCGGTATTGATAATGAACGGAGGGACCTTAGCACCGGAAGTTTTGCTAGAAAAAGCTGTGAGAATGCCAAAAGATGAATGGAAAAGCACAAAGTACGAGAAAATTTGAGTGGGATTTGAACCAGCAACCTCTGGATGGGCAGTTAACTGCTCTACCACTGAGATATACCACAAGACAATTGATACTTTATTTGTTGAAATAGGCTGAAAACTGTGGGTGTAGTTAGACGCAGAAAAAGTCAAACAGGAAAACAATAGAGAGAATACCTGTAGGCTGTTTCTGAAGAAAAAAGGCTGAATGGAGGAATCATTTGAAAAGCTCAAAATCACCAGGTACAAGAAAGATTTGAACCAGCGACCTCTGGCAGTTGGCAGTTAACCGCTATAACACTGAGCTATACCCCTAGCTGAAATTCTACATAGGACTACACATAAAGAACTTAAAGGGGAGAAATGCCAGTGACCAGATCACTCACTTTAGCATCGGAGGTTTTGCTAGAAAAAAGCTGTGAGATTTTGATTCTGTCCCAGTCTAGTCCTTCGTGTGTATATTTGTCTGCTCATCCTTTTTATATGCATCACATTGTAAATGTATGGCTATGCAGTTCTTGTTAAAAACCAAATAAACAAAGTTTAGAAAAAAAAAAAAAAAAAAAAAA